TATATATATATATATATATATATATATGTTTATATGGTTAATTGGTGTGTATGTGTGTTTCTCACGCGCTTATTCTTGTTGCTTGGATGAGTAGAAGTGTATTCCTTTGTCTTTGTAAGCGAAGAAACCATTTTTTTTTTCTTTGAGGAAATGTCTAATTAGGCTTTTTCAATGCCTATGAGGAGCCAAAGTGGTGCTCTCTCTCTCTCTCTTTCTATTTCTCTTTCTCTCTGTATCTCCAATTTTATAATTTTTTTTTCCTTTTTTTATTTTATTTTATTCTAAACACACACACATACACACACTAAATGGATACAGTGTGCTTAAAAAAAAAAAAAAAAAAGAGGACTGAAAGATTGGATATTGAGACAAGAAAAAGAAAGAAAGAAAGAAGAAAATAAGCACAACAAAGATAAAACACATAAATAAACAAGAAGAAACACCGAGTGAATTTAAGAAAACATCGATATACAATATATATATATATATATATAATCCACATATAATTAAAAACGATAATAATTCATAATGAAAACTGCAGCAGGTACACCACCAAGAGGAAATAGTACACAAACACACACTACTGTTGCCCATCCATCTCTTGCCGCATCTCTTCTCTTTGATGTTGTTGTCTTCGCCGGCGGCGCTGCGCCTGGCTTAACACCATTGTGTGATAATGAGCCAAAGCCAATGCTCTGTATCTGCAATCGCCCTATGATTTGGTACTGTCTACATCCGTGGATTACCGCCGGCTGCCAAACTTTCTTTGTCTGCGTGAATGAAGACTATGCGGCCCTGCAGCGATATCTCTGCCGTGAGTTTCCCGCAGTGACTTTTGTATTTGTCTTGGTGCCGCTCACATTGAATGAGGCCCCGTCCACCACCTGTGATGTCGTGAAGGCGTATCTTAAACATAAGGAATCTTTAAAACCGGATAAGTTGGGACAACCACGGGATGCACTTTTACTTAGTTGCGATACGTTTCTACCGGGAGTAAATCTCGAACACTTTATTCGCAATTTCTACTGTTCTGTGGCCTCCGCATCTATTTTACTCTTCCGTCCAATGAAAAGTACACGCACAGCCACTGCAGAGACAACAGGGCCATCATCATCATCATCCGGCGGCGGTGGTGGAAAGAATGATAAAAGTCAGGCAGAACCATACAAATACCGCCTTGTCTGCACAGCATATGAAGAAAAAGATGATGAAGAGCAAACGAATGGATTACAAAAGACAAAATCACGTGATCAGGGCAATGCGACCAATGTCCATCATCATCGATTACACTTTATTGCTCCTCATGAGGAAAAGCCGGTTCCTCGTATTAGCGTTGGCTTTGCCAGTCGACGTCCAAATCTCACCTGTACCGCCGATACGATGGATGCACATGTGTATTTGGTCCGTGATTGGGTACTTCACGCAATGGCAGAGTACGCGGGAGAGGGAATGACGGTTCAACGGGATATCATTCCTTTTCTCGCTCGCAGTCAACATAGTACATTGAATGCCGAAGAAAATGTTTTTCTCCGACCAGACAGTAAAATTAAGTATAATATACCAAATCATTGGTTATATGAGAAGGAGTCTTTTGTACATCTTTTGAATGCCTGTCCAGCTCCTGTATTACCTGTAGAGGCGGATAATCTCCTCGTGTGTTGTACAATTTATGAAGAACGAGAAGATGAACCTATGCGTGTTTATCGAGTAAAAACACGAGAAGATTTTCTAGCAGTAAATCGTGAGATATTAACAGCAAAGTGTGATTTACACGGTTTAAATGAACCTGTGGTGAATGCTAGCAATACACAACAACAGCAACAAAAACAAAAACAACAACAACAAAAACAAAGTAAACAACAAGGTGGTAAGTATTTAGCTCCAGCTACTTTTTCAGAGACTACACAGATGCCTGCTAGTGCCTTTGTATTAAGTAGTTTGCTCCCTGATTCCCCCTTTACACTTCAGATGAAACAAGGTATTCATCAGGTTCAAATTAAACGCAGTTTTTTACGTTCTTTGCCATCAGGAAACGTTTACATAACTTCCAGTATTATTGGGAGTAATGTAACCCTTGGAGTAAATGCTAGAATCACAAATAGTGTTATTTTAGACAATGCAGAGATTGGAGCTAATGCGATTATTACAAATTCTATCATTGGCTCCTCTGCAATGGTAAATCCTGGATTACGTGTAGTGAACTGCACTGTGGGCCCACAGTATATCGTAGAATCCAATGGAATCGATTCAGTACTCTGCACACATGATGCTGGAGGAGGTGTTTATACAAGTTTGTGTATGTAAAAGAGAGAGAGAGAGAGAGAGAGAGAGAGAGAGAAGGAGAGAAGGAGAAGAAAAAGGACGAAAAGGTGCGAAAAGAAGAAAAATAACCACATTAGTAAAAAAAAAAAAAAAAGAAGAGAAGAAGAAATACATATTTGGTATATGTTGCTCTCAGGAAATAATATAATGTTTCATTTTTTTTTTCTTCTTTTTCATTGATCTAATATACAAAGTTAACGACTTTTTGAAATTGATTAGATGCTGAAGGTGTAACGAAACGAGAAAAAATGAGTAACATTATTTCTCTTTTCTTTTTCTATCACTTTGTGTGATTGTGTTTGAGTTGGGGGGACGAGAAGAATTGAGGGAAGAACTAATTGGATCCTGTGGATAGAAAAGAGTAAGAATCTCTGTTCTGTCTGTACTATACAAGGATAAACTGGCATATTATTTCCTTTTTTTTTTTTGTTTTCTTTTTCTTTTTTTAAATAATTCTCTGATGTAATAAATTAGGTTATTATTTGGACCTTCTCAAAGAGAGAGAAAACAAAAAACAAAGAAAGAAAAAAGCTTGAGTGTGAGAAGAGTAGCAAATAGAATCAATACAAACAAACCAAGAAAAATAAAAAAAAGCTTAGAAGGAAGTGATCAAATACATATTTATAGAGAGAGAGTGAGAGTGAGAGTGAGAGTGAGAGAGTGAAAACAGAAAATTAGTAAATGTTTAATTCTGTGAGAAATATCGTATGAGACATCGTATCGTTATTCTTCAGCATGGTTCACATGGTACATGTAGAGACTTGAGTTGTGTTGCGCAGTATCTTCGGGGATTTGAATCCCCACCAGTTGTGTGGGAACCACGGGTAAATGAGGGATTCCGTACAGATGACGGTGTAGTGATATGTGGAGAGCGCTTTGCAAAGAATGTAATCGAAATGTTTCAATCATTTTATTCAACATTATCATTATCAACATTATCAACATCAACAACAACAGTGGAATTGAGTTTTGTAGCCCATTCTATGGGTGGACTTATTATTCGTGAAGCCTTACCACTTATTTTTAAAGAAATTCAATCTAAACAAGATTATATAAATATCAAATGGAAACTTTTTTGCTCTATAGCAGTTCCTCATGCGGGAGTACGGCAAATGGATGCTTTTATACGTTCTTATCTTGGTCGCTTTATTGGACGTTTCTATTCAACCGCATATCATGATATGTTTCTACAGTCTAATGTTTTAACAGAACGTTTACTTTCAAAAGAATATCTTTCCTGTCTCGCTGCATTTGAAAAACGTTTATTAATTTCAAGTATAAATGATCTTCTCGTCCCTTTAATGAGTTCTGGTTTTCTACTAAAACCCAATCAACAACTCCATTATCATCATATCCACTCTTCTTCTCAAGAAGAGCGAAATGAAAGAACCCAAACTATTGAAGAAAGAATGACTACCATGTGTGCTGTAAATGAAGAAGAGATGTACACCAAACGGCATCAACTCACAGAGCTGAATGAGAGAGAATGGCCAAGAGAGAAATTCCCATTGGAGCGACGCCTCGTGGATGAACTTCTTCGTTCTGCCGGTCCTTTTGAAAGTGTCGTGGTGGATCTCCGCCCTTCCGCTGCGGCCTCTACATATCAGACACAACTTGCACTTCACGGCGCCCAACAACTCTCCCATCGAGCACTCATTTGTAAACCACCACTCCACCCATTGGATGACTTGTTTGGATTCGTCTCAAAGGTGGCCGCATGTGAAGCTGTGATGGAATAATAATAATAATATGGCAGTTTCTTTTTCTTTTTTTTTTCTCTCTCTCTTTTTCTCACACTGGTTTCGCTTATTTATATATATATATATATATATATATAAACTTTTCCACATTTTGGCGTTAAGCATAAGAAAGAGAAAGAATTAACACTGTAGAGAAACTAATAATAAAGTCACTATTCACACACTCTCTCTCTCTCTCTCTAATTTGTTCTCATGAGTTTTCCACTGGGTTTGTATGGGCGCCGTTGGTCTAGTGGCATGATGGTACCCTCCCAAGGTATTGACCCGGGTTCGATTCCCGGACGGCGCATCCCTTCTTTTCCACCAAATATACACTATACTATGATTAGTGATGATGTGTATGTATATGTATTTGTTTTATTTTATTATTATATTTTTTTTTCTTTGTTTATCTATTGTGTGGATATAATTAAAAATTAAATACATTTCTATTACTTGACGGTTTTGTGTTGGTTTTTTTTTTTTTTTCTTTCTTTCCTGTTTCTTTCTTCCTCCTATGAATGATTGATTTCTTGTTTATGAAATCTTTTTTAAAAGAAAGGGGGAGGGGGTGAATAGAAGGAAAAGAAAAAAAAAAAAAAAAAACAAAAAGAGAAACACGATAGGCGGGAAATTGGAAAGTGAGTGTGTTTAGGTGGTAAATAAAAGGTGATTGATTGACTTTAAAGAGAAGAAGAAGAAGAAGTATGGGGAAAATGATATGTATTATTATTTTCCTTTTCATTTATGCTCTTAATCTCCTTACAATTTTATCAGGGGTGAATGCGGAATGGGTAAATGAGACAACAGCATATATGGGATCTTCACCTGTTACTCTTCGTATTACTTCTGTAGGTGATTGGAATAATTTGATGGAAACTGGTTTTTTTGGAACAATGGGAAACCACCGAAATCTTCTTTGGTATTGCCGTCATCCGGATGCTAAAAGTATTTATCATTTATGTTGGAAATCACTGGATTTCCCTAGCCCTATTATTAGTACCATTGTGGTAGATTTAAACCGTGATGGGGTGATGGATATTCTTGTACAATGCCAAGATGAAGTCTTACGTTTTATTGATGGTAAAAATCGTAGTAAAGCTCCCATATCCATTAATAATGGAAGTAATATTCCAAATTTTAATGCTAATATCCCACAAATGAGTTTAGTTAGTGTATTTAACTCTTGTGGATTACCAGATATAGCAATGGTAGATAAAAATGGTTCTCTTGTTATTATGCGTGCTACAACAGAGGTATCTGGTAGTAATTGTATTGGTAAGGATGTTATTCCTACATTTGATCAGTTTATCTTAGTAGAGGGGGAAAAGGGAGTGAGGGAAGTTGTTCCTCTAAGTATCATTTCAGATGATATAAATGGTGATTGTGCTGTGGATTTAATCTATAGTATTCATAATATTGACAAAAATACTCTAGAAGTTTATGTTTTCTTTACCTCGCAAAATCGACATGAGTTATTAATGACCTTAAAACCTGCTAATCGTTACGGTTCTCCAACAGTTGTGGATATAAATGGTGATGGCGCACCCGATATTATTTTTCCACTTTGTGCTAAAGAAGAAAATATAGATTCATTTGGGAATTGCAGTGGATTTAACGGTTTAACGGTATTTTATAACCTTTTAGAGGGATCTTCTTCATGTTCTAATGCCAAATGTTGTAATGGACATCCTTATGGATTTAGTGAAAAAGTATCCAAAACATTTTTTCTGGATTTAAATAATGTATGTGGTATTCATACAGTATCCGGTTTGCCTCTTCTAATGCCTAACTCATTAGATTCTCCACTTGAATTACGCTTTGGAGATTATAATAGAGATGGCTATAATGATCTTCTTATACCTAGCACATATGGTCCTCTTTTACTTACAACGAAATCAAATTCTGATACGTTACCTTTCAGTTGTACTCCTTTAAATAGTGAACTTGCACATGATCCTTCTTCTGGTAATCACCAAATGTATATCCAAGCAGTTCCTTTTTTTGTTGTTATTTCTGATAGAGGACGTCTTGATATCATTTTAACCTATCATGGAAAAAATAGTCTTGCTATAACCGTTTATACCAATCACATTTCATCATTGGAGCAAAATTATTTTTTAACTGCAAGTGCTCTCAATGGGGTAGGACAAATAGATACTTGGGGGTTGTATCAACCAGGTGCTGTTCATCGCTTTAGGTGGAGTGATATAGCAATGAACCATCGATGGGGATATGGAGTGCAATTGTCTAAAAGTCAAGGACATGCTTTACAATCTCCACGTTTATTTTTTGGTCTTGGTCGTACTTTTTCTTATGTTGAAGATTACACCGTTGCTGTTCTCGTCGATCGAGAATCTGTGCATCATCAATGGTCAGAAAACCTTATACCAAACTCAAATTTATTTATATGGTTATCTCCATTCGTTTCATCTTCACAATGGCGCCTGCGTCTGTATATCGCTTCATCAACCTACCAGATGTTATTATTCGTAGTGCTTATTACTACTCTTGTGCTTATTGGAATTCCTATTCTATTTCTTAAGTGGAGGGAAGTTCAACAAGATCGACGTGAGTGGAGATTCAGGTAATTTTCCTTTTTTTTTTT